AGAAAATAAAACCCTCTCTCTTTTCCTCCGTACCCAAATCTCTAAAAACGGGGCTACAACGGAGCTGATCCAGATTTGCGTCCGATATGACGTAATATCGGAAATGTAGACTGGCTTTACACCCACGGCCCTATCAGAAACGTTGCTATCAGAAACAATGCCCGACTGTTTTGGACGTAATATGGTCGGTGCATGTTTACATTAGCATCGCTAACACTCAGAGCTAACCTGTACTGCACAGAGCATGTGTGTGAAGAAGCAGGAAATAAAAAGGAACTCACCTTGTGGTATAACCGGCAAGAGAGAAAGCCTTTGAGCTCCATACTGATTCAGAAATAATCCTTGATAATCCATGATATGGCGTTTCATCACAGCAGTATCTGCCGGTAGAATCTCCCGCATGAGCTCAGCCCCCTCCTTTATTTTTGTATCCATTTGAAAAAAAAAAAAAGCTTTATACTCCAAATCAGCACTTTTGAAACAGGAAGTGAAATAGAGGGATATGAGGCATGGCTAGAATGGGTGATCTGTTTGGTATTTTGAGCAAAACACTTCATAGACATGTTTTTTATAGTTTTTTATATATCTGAGACCTATGCTATTGCCTAAAAATAGCATGTTATGGTGACCTTTAAGGTCATACATGAACATAAACTAAACAGATTTGTAAAATGAGGAGCTCTTTAGGAAATTTCCAAATCCAGTGATAACAAGGCAAGGTTCACCACATTCATTGTTATGATGCCTGTGTCTGGATTTATGGTTTTATTTTGTTGCAAAACTGTCGCAAGATGCAATTTTCACAGCTCTGGCAGACATATTTTCTTTCTGCACATACAGTAACCACCATTTTAGCCACCAGTGATTGCATAATCGTACAGTTAATTATGCTGCACAGGCAAACACAGAGCAGAATAACAGGTTAAAATAAGCTGTGATGAGGTTGGTAAGGTTGTCTCTGATTGGCTAACGTGTAGGTGGTGCCACATTACATAAAGGCACCCTTCAGAAAGCGTTATGACCTGATGGCAGGCAGACTAACCTGTTAACTCTCCCTAATACCTTCAGTGAAATGGTACCGCAATGAAAGGTGGATGACAGGCTTCAATTAAACTGTGACAGACCAACAGGTATTCAAACAATAATAACCTCATAAACAGTGGCTCAACGAAGCTGAACATGTAAGGTACGTCAATAAATCACAGTAATAAATCACTGTTGTATTGTTACGTAAGTAATCCGAATGATTTGACAGGGATTGAACCCGCCAAACCTTCTGATCTATAATGTTCAGTACATATACTATAGTATTAAAATAAATCATCCTAGAGATATTACATTATTGTTCAAAAAGGAATGGACAAAAGCTCACGTAAAAACGTATTGCACGTCTGTTTCTGAATTAGGAATAAATTAGATAGATGTCTGTTACTCTGAGCGCTCTCGGGCCCCCTGCAGGGTCTTCTGTTATAAGGATGTCCATGATTGGACGAGGAGCCTGTGAGAGGACGAGTGTTTGTGCCCTGCAGACCCTGTAGGAGAAAGAAGGAGAATTACAGCTAACCTTTATCCCTGATGGACAACATGCAGTTTTTTACTGTTTAAATATTTATTATTTCTTGGTTTTTTTCAGAGGTGGACTAAGTAATCAGATATTTTACCTGATAAAATAGTAACACCAGAATGTAGGAACACTCTGCTACAAGTAAAAGTCCATCGTTCAAAAAGCTTACTTAAGTGAAAGTACATGTTTCAGTATCAAAAGCACTTAAAGTAAAGTATATCATTCTGCAAAACCACTCAATTCAGAAATATATATATATTAGGGCTGTCAAGTTAACGCGTTAATAACGCGTTAACGCAAAAAAAAATTAACGCCACTAATTATTTTAACGCGATTAACGCATGTGTATTTTTTGTCCTCGGCCGCCCCGTAGTTTCAGAGCGCATCGAGTTTAAAATACCATCTACAAGCTGATGCTGACAGCCTCGCTCCTGCCGCCCGCTTGTGGCAGACCACACTTCCACGCTCACCGGCAGGCCCGGACTGGCCATCGGGAGGACCGGGAGGGTGTGTGTATGTGTGGCGCGACTCGCGCGAGCGAGGCACACCTTACGTGTTGTTGTTGTTAGCATCTGGTGCTAGCTAGCTGCGCTAACGGATATAAGGAGCTGTTTCAATGACATTTCGCCGACAACTGCGCCGAGCACTTGACTTTATGCAGGTAGCCAGACAGTGGGACATTGTACGAAAAGTCAGCACACTCAGCACGGATAGTGCGCGCAACATGATTGCAGCGTCCAGGCAGCTCCCGTTCGAGCATATATGCCTTGAGCGGCACATAGCTCCAACGATCCATCACAGTGTCTCCACATTCTCACACACACACACACACACACACACACACACACACACACACACACACACAGTATTGTATTATTGTATGAGAGAGGTTCCAGGTTGAATCGAATATTTGTAATGTTCAGAGGTTGTTGTGTTTAATATTCATGAGAATATTTGTCATTGTTCAAATGATAATAAACAAACATATAAAGCATATTTGTCCACTCATATGTTGATAAGAGTATTAATAACTTGAAAAATATCCCTCTAAGGTACATTTAGAACAGATAAAAAATGTGCGATTAATTTGCGATTAATCGCGATTAACTATGGACAATCATGCGATTAATCGCGATTAAATATTTTAATCGACTGACAGCCCTAATATATATATATAAATTGTGGGATTATCATTTTTTATGCATTAATAAAAGATGGAGGTTTTTAAAAATAGATCTTCTTCTTTGTGACCCCTCAAAGTGAATTTATCCTTCACACACATACAGAGGCAGAGGTTACCTGCTCACTAGGAGTGATACACATTAACACACACTTACACACCGCTGGCTACCGCTTCAGGAGCATCTTGGGTATCAATATCTTGCCCAATGAAACTTCAACAGGAGGACCACTCTACCTCCTCAGCCACATAAAAGGTTTGTTTATACTATTTTGAATTAATAAAAAAACTAAAGATGTCAAAGGTACAATATGTGCTTCTGAATTGTCAAATAAAGTGCATTCAAATTGTACTTAAACACTTTTAAATTGAATGAATACAGAAGGCAGACACACGACACAAAAGTTAATATAATATTAATAATATAACATCAGTCTTTATTTATGTTTGGAGGTGCTTGGTGTCAGCTTTACATAGAGATGAGTGGAGTTATAATTACAGTTAAATGTCTATGTGATGGTCAGCCAATGAGATCGTCCCACAGCCTCGCAGCATGTGACGCTGTGTGAAACCAGTTGTGCTAAATTAGGCGAGACAACATCCCATCCACAGGGAAGAAACAGAGCTTTCAGATGACTGACCGCAGGAAACACACAGCAGGGAGAGAGGAGGAACACTGGAACACTTCTCTGTCCTCTGGAAAGAAATGACAAAAGACATACTGTTGGTATTAAACTAATTTGCTTAATTATTGTTCATCTGATTTAATTATTTTATTTACTGCTAGCAATAAATATATTTATTTTCATGTAATTATTATATTCAACATTTAATATTATTATTATTATTATTATTATTATATTTGTATCTCTAGTTTATTATCTATTTTCTAAATATTGTTTTTTAGTAATTGGTCAACCTTTTTAAATTATTTATGATATTCTATTCCTGTTTTGTGTTAATTTTATGCATATTTTCTCTTATAAAGCACAAATAAATTGGATTACTGTTAATTATAATAATTGTGTTTATTTTAACTGATAAAACCATATAAAGACAAACTTGAATCTGCCAGTCCTACAATGATAATACATCAAAAAATACAATGAGCGAACAATTATTGTAATATTTTCCAAGAAACAATTCATACAACATTAGAGTAATCAGCATCTAAGAATTTAATAACATAACAATTACAAAGTTGGTGAACTTTACAGATTGACATGGCAAAATACAGCTTACATGTTAATATTGGTGAGGAAGAATTCATTAAAACAGGTTTGTGAAGCAATAACACAGAGGGAATTTGCAGAGCTGCAGAGGGAGAGTCATGACCGTAAATCATGGAGATGTTTTCTTTTCATAAACGGCTGAGCAAAGATCAACCCAGAGAAAAACATAGGGCTGCTCAAGATATATCGTTAGAACTTGAACACCACTCCATATGCAATGTGCAAAAAGTTAAAGAATATTAAAGAAAAAGGGAATACTGTATGTATGATTTAATATGGTTTTAAACAGCAGGGATTTAGAATCATCGCTCAGATCGTTTCCACAGGACAGAGAAGCAGGTTCTGGGAAAATCTGACAATGTATGTCAAAAAAAGCTTTAGATTAAGAAGGGGGGAAAAAAGGAAGAAGGAACTCCTTCTACTTCTTACAAAGCCTTTTTGAATTGAGTCTTTGGATGCCAAACACTGCAGTGACGGAGGAGAGAGTGAAGACCAACGCATCAGCTCAAGTTTCTTTCTTCTTACCCTTAGATGCATAAGTGGGTCTTTTTGGACCCGGTGAGGTGGTTTTCTTGAAGTATCTTTGTAATTACATTTTTTTATCATTTCATATTCTAGCTATTCCTCAAAAAACATGTTTTGGATATCATGCCATTCTAATTTTAAATTTGAAAAAATTGTAGTTTTTGTATTAGTACCCCAAGCTTCCATAAGTGGGTCAAAACTGACCCGCATGCATTTTCTATGGAATCCTATGGGAAAACGTTTTTTTTCAAAATGTAAAAGACATTTCTAAAATTATAAATAGTGAAAAATTAAATATAAAATATTTCTAGTGTGAACCAAAATATAATACTAAATATTATACAAGAGATTTTTCTTAACCAAAATGACAAAAATTGCATAAAAACACATATTATTCTAATACGGGTCCTTTTAGACCCACTTATGGAAGAGTGTAGGGTCCAGTCACTCGTGCATCTAAGGGTTAGTGCATGGGTGCGGTCTCGGTGGGTTCCCTGGGGGTCCGATCAGTTGGGGTATTGAAGCTTGAAGTGGTCAGAGCCTGGTGCTTCACCTGAGCCCCGCCGCCAGCTTCTCCATGGCTGCCTTGCGTTCCTCTGCTTTCAGCTGGGAGCGCCGCAGGACGTTCCTCAGCTCCTGCAGGTGGTCCAGCGTGCCCACCAGCTCACCCTTCACTGTTTTCATCTGGCTCTCCAGCAGCTGTGTGTGGTGCAGCGAGCTCCTCCTGTGGCGCCGGCTGGAGCGCACCTTCTCCTCCAGATCCTCCACTGCAACCAAAAAACTGTTACCACAAGTTCACGGAAAAAACGGAAGCTGTGACTCTAATTAAATGTTTTATGTCAACAGATTTCACATACCTGTATTAGGTTAGTTGAAAGCAATAATATGAAAGGTCCCCTATTAGGCTATACTGTTTTTCATCAATGTATTATAGGTCTCAGATATATACAAAACATGTCTCTGAAGTGTTTGGCTCGAAATACAAAACAGATCATGAATTGTAGCATCCCATAATCCCCTCTGTTTCAAAAGTGCTGATTCTCTGTCTGTTACTTTAGATGAAAATAAGGAGCCACTCCCCACGCCCCTCTGAGAGATATTTGGTTAAAAAGAACACAATGGTGCTCTAGGAGAAGATTCAGGTGATAAGATAGGGGGGGTTACCTTGGTTGGTGATTGGCTAATGGTTACACAAGCCAAAACATCGTTATGACATCATAAAGACAGGTTTTTATATCAATGGATCAGGACAAAAAGAGAGAGAATCTTTTTTCCTGAAACTTTCAGAATCTCTTTACACAGAGGGGGACACATGTTTATAAAAGACATGACAAGTGGATTTTGCATAATAGGTGACCTTTAAAGTCAACGTTTCAGCTTTATCAGTGCACCAGATAGAGATTTCAACACACAGGAGCATTTAGTAGGATGTGTCAGTGGTACAGACCCATGTTCTCCTGTAAGTCCATGCTGTCTGAGCAGGATTCTGTCTTCCTGTCCAGCAGGTCCTTGGTCTGCTGCAGCATCTTCTCCATCTTGACCAGTTCAGCAGCCTTAGTGTCGCTGTCCCGGCGAATTTTCAATAACTCCCTCTGCCTCGGAGTCAACTCACTGTGAACATTACTCATGTTGAAGGTAAAAACTCTGAACCTGTAAGTAAAACCAACGCAAGGCCACCTGCGACACAAGAGCCAACAAGAGTCAGTGAGCTCGCAACACCAGGAGGACGCCTCTGACCTTTCAACATCCAATAATATTCCACTCTGAGACAAACGCTTTCTCTTCTGAAATGCTGGTTTGTTTGCAAATAGACAGCCGGGGACTTTTGGCTTTTTATAGCTTCTTCTAACCTCAGCACATGTTTGAAAGTTCTCTGTAAACAGTGGATTCTCAGTACACACCATTACAATTGGCAAGTCATAAGACTGGCTTCACAAAGCCCTCCAGGAAAATTGATCATTTTTACACTTACTCGCAGGTCATAAAGTTCCTAAAGGCAGAAGATAGCAAGCGTGACCATTTGCAGGATTTAAAACAAAAGAAACCGTCTTTATTTAAACATGCGTGTTAAAAGAATACATAACAGGAGCTAAACAAAACTGTAAGCTATTCTCAAATTTATATTGGTGTTAACGTTTAGCATCTACAACAAAAACAATTCTGGACAGAGCAAAACATCTAATATCAAATACTAACAAGAGACAAAGAATGCTTTGTATTACTATTCATCATGTACCAAGAAACATATCAACCCTGTAATTGTGTTGCATTCATCATTTGTGGAAGAGCAGTCAGTATGTACTGTTTGTCAGTGACCTATACTTAAAGAGTAACTTGAAGAATATGGAGCTCTGAGCAAATGATCTTCACCAAAGTCAGACTTATTCCCACATGTCATGCAAGCATTCATTCTTAGAAAAAAGAACATTTCATTGCGTATCATTTGTACTTCTCTAGCAGTGAAGATCTCCTGCCCCTCCAAACAAATCTTATTTGTTAAGATAAATGTTTTATTTAAAAGTTTTTTTTTAAGGAGGCACCACAGAGCCAAGGGCAGGCCGAGCAGACCGCCTCCTCCCGCCGCAGGCAGGATCAAACTCTCGGTCCGGCAGCTTGTGAGACCCGCGTGCCGACGTGTCCACAGAGGCTTACTGACCGGAAGGACTTATTTTCTGCATATCGAGCAGATCAGCTTGGATGGTGCCCCTCTAAGAAATATAATAAATAAACAGCAGTCAAAATGTGGACACACACACACACACACACACACACACACACACAACACACATACACATACACATACACATACACACACACACACACACACACACACACACACACACACATACACATACACACACACACACACACACACACACACACACACACACACACACATACATACACATACACATACACATACACATACACATACACATACACATACACACACACACACACACACACCACACACACACATACACATACACATACACACACACACACACACACACATACACATACACATACACATACACACACACACACACACACACACACATACACATACACATACACACACACACACACACACACACACATAAATGTTCATTGAGGAAAACAGTATCAGTGTCTTATTTTATATTCATCACATGTGAATGCTGAACTTGCCGGACCATATACTGTAGTTGAAAGTACACAATGAAACACTGGCTTGCTTGTATCAAATCAATACATCCCATACATCATTGGAACAGTAAGAATCTCAGCTACAACACTAACTCCAGTAAACACAGCCTACATGGCAAGCATTTTTATAATATACAGTAATGTACAGTAAACACTATCTTTGTTTGTTTGTTGCCTTTATTTAACCAGGTTAAAAAATCCCATTGAGATCAACGATCTCTTTTTCAAGGGAGACCTGCAGTACATTGGTTACACATAAAAACAACAGAAAACAAAAAGGACATCACAACATAATTACAGGGGTAAAATTAGCAACCTATTCACAGTGACAGGTATCTAATAAAATGTCATCCAGCCGTGCTTTAAAATGATGCAAGGGAATCAAAATGCTCAGTTTCAATGTTTTTTGCATAGTGTTCCAAGCTAGAGGAGCAGCACACATAAAAGCTTTAGTACCTAAAACAGTCCTAGCACTTGGCACATGTAATAAGAACACATCCTGGGATCTCAGGCAATAGCTACTTGCCACTCTCTGTGAGATCAAAGAGCATATATAAGTCGGTAGTTTACCCAGCATGGCTTTATATATGAATATGTACCAATGACTGAGCCTCCGAACAGTAAGTGAAGGCAGACCTGCCTTGGCATACAGGGTACAGTGATGAGTAAGTGCTTTACAGTTAGTAACAAATCTCAGAGCACTGTGATAGGCGGCATCTAACCTTTCCAGGCAATGGGCAGGTGCATTCATATATATCAAATCACCATAGTCTAGCACAGGTAAAAAGGTCACAGTGACTAGCCTTTTCCTGGCCTCAAAAGAGAAACAGGACTTGTTTCTGAAAAAGAAACCTAGTCTAACCCTCAGCTTTTAAAGCAGATTAATGACCTGAAGTTTAAAAGTAAGACAATCATCAAGCCAGATACCAAGGTATTTGTAACAGGTAACCACTTTGAGTACTTGTCCTTGCATAGTAACAATATCCAAAGCAGTCTCTTGAGTCTTTTTAGCTTTAGAAAAGAGCATTACCTTGGTTTTCTCAACATTTAAAAGAAGCTTAAGCTCAGCGAGCTGAGTCTGAATAATGTTAAAAACAGCCTGTAATTTAACAACCGCCTCCTTAATCGAGGGACCTGCACAGTACATAACGGTATCATCCGCATAAAAATGCAAAGTAGCTTCATCCACATTTTCACCTAAACTATTGATGTAGATGGAGAATAAAAGTGGACCTAAAACAAAACCTTGAGGAACACCATTTGCAATGTTTAACCACTCAGAAGACAGCCCATCAAAGTGAACACATTGGGACCTTTCAGAGAGGTAGTTCACAAACCACCCCACTGCATGGCTGGATATGCCAATACTGTGTAGCCTCTGCTTTAAGATGCGATGATCGACGGTATCAAACGCTTTGGAAAGGTCAATAAATAGAGCTGCACAACTCTGCTTATTATCTAAAATACTTGTAATGTCATTCACCACTTTCATTGTCGCAGTGATGGTGCTATGTTGCTTTCTGAAGCCTGACTGATGTTTAGACAGGATATTATTTTTACATAAAAACTCCTTTACTTGTTCACTCACTAGGCTTTCAAGAACCTTAGCCAGAACTGAGAATTTCGAGATTGGCCTATAGTTATTTAAAATAGTTGCCTCCCCTCCTTTTAGTAGTGGCAGGACATACGCTGACTTCCATACTTTTGGAATTGCATTTGTGCTGAGGGAGAGGTTAAAAAGAGAAGTAAGAGGTGGAGCAATAAAATCTGCAGCCATCTTTAAAAAGAAAGGTTCCACGTTGTCCGGGCCAGCCGGTTTCTTAGGATCTAACTTAGATAATGCTTCATGAACAACATTTACAGTAAAAGGAGTAAAACTGAAAGGGTTTTCCAGACCACATTGTTCAGAGTCACAGACTGTGGTGTTCACAGAAGCAGAGTTAGTCACAGAATCAAACAGAGAGCCACAGGACACAAAATGCTTATTAAAGCAATTTAACATAGTAGCCCTGTCCGATATAGAGCCAGATGCTGTGGTAATGCACGGAGGTAGCTCATTTCGGATCTCACCGGCGGATATCGATTTTATGGCTTTCCAAAATTTCCTAGGATTATTTAGGTTTTCTGTAGTAACTGACAAATAGTACTTCGACTTAGCACTTTTGACATGTGAAGTGAAGCTATTCCTTAGCTGCCTAAAACGCAGCCATTGATTGAGCCTGATTTCCTAGCCTTTGCCCAGGCCTTGTTTCTCTCATGCAGGAGACTGGACAGTTCAGCAGAAAACCAAGGGTTGTCTCGTCCCTTTACTCTAAATGTACGTAGGGGTGCATGTCTATCTATAATTTCCATAAAACCAAGATAAAAATAAGACCATGCAGTTTATACATCAGCACACAGATCGATTTTTCCCCAATCAAACCCAAACAGATCATGAACAAAACCCTGCTCCACAAAATGTTTTATGTCTCTCTTAATGATAATACGAGGTTTAACCTTTTGGACCTTAGTGTCCCTAATTGTGGCTACAACACAGTGGTCACTCACATCATTTGCAAATACTCCCACAGATGAGTATTTATAGGGAACATTAGTTAGAATGAGATTAATTAGGGAGGATTTATTAGGGGACTTAATGTTAGGGCGAGTAGGACTGTCAACAATCTGAGTAACATTTAAAGAGATACAAAGGTTTTTAAAATCCTCTGATACTGCAGTTAACCAGTCCCAGTTAAAATCACCAAGTAGCACTATTTCCTTATAGTCTAGTTGCGATAAAAGTTTAGCTAGTGAAGACAAGGAGTCCTTGACAGCTGAGGGGGGTCTGTAACAGCCCACCACCATGACCTGTTGACCCTTTGCCACTTCTATATTTAAGGCTAAAAATTCGAATTGCTTACCGATAGATTTGGAAACCAATGTGGTTACACTGAACTTATTCTTAACATAAATGGCAACTCCACCACCTTTATTAGGCCGGTCGGTACGATACACATTATAACCATTTAAGGATATGTCAGAGGCCAAAATAGTTTTATTTAGCCATGGTTCTGATAACACAATGACATCAGTGTCAGTCGAGCTTGCCCAAATGCGGACAAAATCTAGTTTACCTAACAGACTGCGCACATTCAAGTGGATGAAACCCAACCCAGACCTAGCTTTAAAATCAGCAGGAGTAGCGATCTGACTACTACTACTGGGCGGACCAGGGTTAGGTTGTACATTTCCTGACAGTAATAACAACAACAAAACCATTGAAGTCAATGGAGAAAATCTTCAGACTTGAACAATCTTCATGCGACTTCAACTGCTAACTGTTCCTTCATACTTTCACTCAGAAACCTAAAAAACCCAAAGGGAAAATCGACTAAAACGTTGAAAGAT